ACTGGGGTTGTGCCTCCCCCAGGTGATTCTTGGGTTCCTGTTCTGTGAGAATTAGTGAGTTAGCATTTTGTGCTGCCTGTAATCACTACACTGGTCCCAGGGTCTGTAAGAGAAAGACAGGGCATTGGCCTTTTGAGGGAGGAAGACAGAAGTGGAGGACAGAGGAAGGGAGGGCAGAGGCACAAGGAGCTATTCCAGGGCTGAGGCTGCTTCTTGGAGCCCCGAGCTGGGCTCATTTTGCCTTCCTCCATTGTGTGTGTGTGCACATGTGTGTGTCCATGTTTGGTGCCCCCCACTCCCTTTCACCCTGCCCTGCATGTTTCCAGAGTGGTTTTCAATTTGCATGTTCCACTGACGCCACTTTTTGTCCTATACAACATGTGCCACTGCTGCATATTCTCATGCAGGGCTCTATCTCCAGTCTCAGTGGGCTGCTGTGATAGGCTGAGAGCTGTTGTCTATGTGGTGGGGCAAGCAGGATGGCAATGGGAATGTACCCTGGATTTTGTCAAGATTACAGCCACCCGAGCCAGCAACAGGACCCCTGCAGCAGCACAGAGGGACCCCAACAGAAAGATGTGCCTCCAAGATCAGACAGGATGAGGGCCTCTTGCTCCTCCCAGTCCTACAGGAAGAGTGGAGTGCTCAGAATTGGTGTCCACTGAGTGTGTACCACAGAGTCTGTACCACAGAGCCTGGGACAGGAAGCCCATGTCCCTACAGGAAGACAGATGTGCAGAGCTGTTTGGCCCCTGCCTCTCATAACACCCCTTCCTCTTGCCTGATGGGCTCAGTATCTGACCCGAGGGACCACCTGACTGCTCCACCCTCTCACCTCCACAGCCATGTATGCTTGACCCTTCCCGTGGGCTACAGTGCAAGCACAGGCTTGGAGACAGCCCGGATGCTGCCCTGCATGTCTTGGGAAGGACACCATGTCAGCCTGGCTGGAGCTTCCGTTCCACATATGGCTGCATCTCTGATCTCTGCTCAGTAATTAGTCTGCACAGAGCTCCATTTGATTTGATACCTATTTTTCTGTCTCCTCCCAAACTGAAGTCCTTCCATGAATTGTTAATCCCCATCTTTCGGTAGACCTATTTATTTATTTATTTATTAAATTTTCTTTAAAGAGAAAAAGAAAAAAAAAACATAAAAAGGGTACAAGTAATACAAAATTTAAAGAAAAAAAAGTAAGAAATCACTAGTTAATAGATTACATATTCTCATCTTAGAAACAGTTGTTCAAGCTACAAAATTAAAGCATATAAAGTGGACTTTCAGACAGTGAGACTGCGAACAGTTTTGTTCAAGGATCCAACAAAACTCAGTAATATCATTGTCTATCTTACACACTTAAACATATATGCAGTTATAACCTTTAGAGCACTTTCTTTTCTTTTCTTTTGTACAATGACAATTACACATTTTGGGTTTTATGACTCCCACAGTTCTTATTACTTTTTTTGAAGAGAGTAAAACCAAATGCGACATATCAGAACAGAGGCAGTCAAGTCAAAAGGATGGACATACTAGATAATGTAAAAACAAAATACAGGGCTGGGGATTTAGCTCAGTGGCATAAGCACCTGCCTTGCAAGCAGGCAGTCGTGAGTTCGATCCCTGGTACCGATAAAAATGAAAAAGACCAAGAAAAAAAAAATACAAGGTGATCAACAATGGTTACCATAACGCCTCTTGCTGTCTTAAAAAGAATTGTCTATATCATCAGTTATAATAAAATTGAACAAAACAGTAAATAATGAAACCAAAACATTGGAAACATTACAGGACTTTAAAAGAAGATAATAGTCAACCAGAATGGGCATCATAATGAATCTTATTGTCTTCACAGTTGTTGCCTATACTTTTGAACTTGGTACTATCAAGCTAAGCAGAATAGGGGAAAACCAGTCAAAACAAGATGGTGAGGGCAATACAGGGTTTCAAATCAAGTTAATAGGAAATCAAAGTAGGTTACTATAATGTATCCTGCTATTTTTTATTTATTTTTCCCTTAATTAAAAAGTAAAAATAAAAAAGTAAATAATTAAAAAAGGAGATTGAGATAAAAGAGGGCATAACAACAAAACAGCACAGGTCAAAAGCATAACCATTTAAGCAAAATAGAGACCTATTTATTTTTGTATTACCTGTCTTGAAGTACACAGCATCGCAGTTCTCACTCTTACAGTGCATGCTTCCATGATGTTTCATGTAGTCAGGGAGTTGTGCAAGGTCACGTAAGCAACATTAGAACATTTTCATCACTGTGAAAGAACTCCATCCTTATTGGCAGTCACTGCATCTACCTCCGACCCCTGCCCTCAGCCTTAGAGCCCCGTCAATCTCTGTCTTTATGCATCTTCCTGTTCTGGACATGTTTAACAAACGGAATCATAAGATGTGGCCTTTCGTGACCACCTTCTTGCACTTACTGTGTTTTTCAGGCTCATCTATGTGCTAGCCTATATATTTCATTCTTTATTAACAGATAATATTGCTGTGTGTGGATATGCCACATTCTGATGAACTATTTACCCATTATTGGACATCTGCCTAATCCAGAGTCATTAAAATGTACCCTTGTGTGTTTTTCTAAGAATTGCATAGCTTTAGCTGTTATCCTTAGGTCTTTGATCCAATTTAAACCAACGTGTTTATACGATATTAGGTAGGAATTTCCATTCTTTGCATTTTGTCTTAGAATATTTTTTAGAAAACTATCCTTTGTTGTACTGAATTGTTTTTGACACCCTGGTCCAATGTCAGGTGACTGTGAATGTTAGTTTATTCCTGGCCTCTCTTCTCTAATTCATTCATCTGTTTGTCTGCTCTTATTCCAGTACCACATTGTCTTGATTCTGGTAGTAGTGTGTTAAGTTTTAAAGTTTCAAATGAAGTTCTCTAATTCTGTTCAATGTTGTCTGAGCCATTTTGGATCCTTTGTATTTCCATATGAATTTTAGGAACAGCTTGTTAATTTCTGCAAAGAAACTGGCTGGAATTTTGATAAGGATTGTATTGAATCTTTACATCTGCTGAGCAGTATGGTGATCTTAACAATAGAAAGTCTCCTAATCCATCAACATGGCATATCTTTCCATTCAAATTTTGCAACATCCTTTTGAACCTTTGTATTTTTGTGCCATTCTTGAACTCCAGCGATCTTGTACTTTTAAAATGCATCCCACGCCCCTGTTTTCCACACTGACCATCTCCTGCTATGTTCTGCCTCCCTCCCTGCAGTCTTCTACTTCCAGCAGCTGTTTCTCCCCCACACGTGGAGATAATGTGTTGTGAGATTCCAAATCAGCTGTCTCACTCTCTGCTGTTCTCTTAGTTTGGATTCTCTTCCTTGAAGAAGAAATGTGAGAATTCTTACATATAAGTTTTCAGTCTGTGTCATTTCCCTGTGACGTAGGTAAAATGGGAAAATGAGAACACACACACACACACACACACACACACACACACACACGCACGCACACACGCACGCACACACGCACGCACGCACGCACGCACGCACGCATGCTCCAATTCTCCATCTAATTGAATCAACAAAGGCCCAGAATCAGAAGTGTCTGCTTACCTAGGAGGTGGGTGATTACAGAAGACTAAAGGTTACCACACCTACCATGACCGCCTTGGGTCTAGCATTCTTTATATGCGTCAGTTTAGCGCTGAACTGTCCCTCATGTGGACACAGCACCCTCACGGCAGAGCAGTCTTACAGGTCCCTGGCACTGCTCTGTGTCTTCTTTTTTCTCCTCTTCCTCCTGCTCCTCTTCCTCCTCCTCCTCTTCTTCTTCTGCTGCTACTGCTTTCTTTTCTTTCTCCTCCTTCCTCTTCCTCTCCATCTCTGTCTTTGTCTTCATCATCTCCTTCTTTTGCTCCTCCTCCTCCTCCTCCCTCTCCCTCTCCTCCTTATCCTTTTTCTTCTCTGTCTCTCTGTCTCTGTCTCTGTCTCTCTCTCTCTTTCTCTCTCTCTCTCTCTCTCTATGGGTGCCTCTCTCTCAACTCTCAATCTGTCAGTTTCTCTCATTCTCCCTCCTCCTTCCTCCCCCTCCACCCACCTCTCTCTCTCTGTGGGTGCCTTCTCTCAGTCTGTCAGTCGCTCTCCCTCCCCCTCCCCCTCCCCCTCCCCCTCCCTCTCCCTCTCCCTATCCCCCTCCCTCCCCTTTCTGGTACAAGGAAGAAGTTGGATGGTTCAGCTTTCCCCCTGGAGAAAGGCTTTTTGATTATGGGTGCCTAGGATGATAGCCCCACATCCTGGGGCTATATCATTGCTCAAAAGCAACCATCATTTCTGCCTTCCACCTGAATACAATGTTCCAGTAACTGCAAGTGACACTCCTGTTCATGATGACACTGGGTCAGATGCTTCAGAAGGATCAGCACCAGTGTCCTTAAATCATCAAAATAAAGCATGTTATCAGTGCACAACTAGACCAATGCACATACCTTGTGTTGATACGAATAAAGAGGGTCTTGTCTTTAGTATGAATTTCTGTGCTTGGCTGGCAGGGCACAGTTTCAGCCAGAAGGGAAAGAAAACTCACAGATGCCAATTGTGCACTACTGAGAATTTAAGAAAAGCCTGTGTCGCACGGGGCACTTACGTGTGTGAGGCTTTTTTACCCAGAGCTGGATTTTATATCCCGAGCTAGTGTGTCTGTAGTAATCCTCCCAAACTTTCTTTTGCGGGTGCTTTAGTGAGGTTAAGTTACACTGCTATAACAGACCAATCTTGATGGTCAGCAGCTTTATATATATTATATTATATTATATTATATTATATTATAATATATTATATTATATTATATTATATTATATTATATTATATTATATATAAATGCATTTCTCATTCATGCTAAGTTGGCTACATCGCTGGCGTTGGGCCTGGAGGAGCACAGTGGCCTCCGAGAACTCCTGTGCCAGGCTGATGAACTTCTGACTGAGCAGTCTGAGAACTGCTGATGAAGTCTCTGTGTCTCCAGGTGTGGCTTTGCGGGGGCAGCATGGAGGTCCTTCCGTGCTCTCGCGTGGCCCACATTGAGCGGAAGAAGAAGCCGTACAACAGCAACATCGGCTTCTACACCAAGAGGAATGCGCTCCGGGTTGCCGAGGTCTGGATGGACGATTACAAGTCTCACGTGTACATCGCATGGAACCTGCCGCTGGAGGTAGGACCCAGCACCTTTCCCTGGCACCCAAAACAGTGACCTGCACTGTCTGGCATGTCACAGATCCTTTTATTTTTTATTTTTAAGTTAATTTAGTTTTAAAACTTGTATTTATTTTTGTGGTGCTGGGGACTGAACTCAAAGCCTTTGCACTGAGCTCCAACCCATGCCCCTTGTTTATTTTTTATTTTATTTTGAATCAGAATCTTACCAAATCACAAACTTACCTGGGCTGGGCTCCAACTTAATATCCTCCTGCCTCAGCCACCCAGAGTGCTAGGATTACAGTCATAGACCACCATGCCCAACAGGGCCTTTTAACAAGCTAATGTTTCTTCCTGAAATCCATGTTCATTCCTCAGAAGTTCTGAATGCATTTTGGGAGATAATGTTTCAGATAGAGTTTTAGATCCTCTGCTTTACACTGAGTCAGGTATAACAGAGATCACATTTATCTACAAAGGTTAGAAGGATCCTATTTTGCTAATCCCAGCTTTAGTATACTAACCTAGCTGCCTTCTCGTGAAGGTTCCTGGTCCAGAAGGTTCTCACCAAAGCTCTTGGCACCAGACCCCGCATCTTCTCTCCCTGCACGGCCTCCCTCCCAGCTCCAGCTGCCTGCCTTGCTGCAGGCTGGATTTCGGGTCTCTCCTCCTCCTTTCCCTCCACATCCTGTTCAGAACATGCCCAGGGAACATCCTGTGTAAGTGCAGCCTCCCAGGGGATGCCTCAGCCATTGCTTTTGGCTTGAATCCCAGCTCTGTTGCTTACTACTAAGGAGATTTTGGCTAAATCCACTCATAATCTCTGTAGCTTCAAGTCCTCAGCTATAAATGGGGACAAGAGCAGGTCCTCCTTCCTAGGCTAAATGAACTAAATGAGCTCGTACACATGACATACTCAGAGCAGGCCCTAGGACAACACGCAATGAGTGTCATCCTGCATAGCATAATGGAGTAACCTGGACTCTCATCCACATCTGGGTTGTCTCCTCAGCAGAACACCTGGAGGTGTCTGAGCTTTGCCCTAAGAGGCTGTCTTGGGATGCTTGCTCACTAGCAGACAGCAGCCTCTGTGTTTCAGGAGGCTATATCCCAGAACAGAGGAAATGTGGCCAAAGGTATGCAAATTTATGTGTAAAGAGGATAAACGTGAAGAACTTGTATCATTCTTGTTACAACTTTTGAAATACATCCTAAATAATTTAAAGCTTTCTCACAGCACTTAAAATTGTTAAACCACAAGTGCTTTTACACCTTCTTATTATGCAAAGATAGGTAACATTTGCTGAGCACTTGCTATGTCTCAGGCCCCAAATTCCTCATTTAATTCTCATAACAACTCCATGGCAGATCCTTCTGCCTCAGGGTCCTCCTATAAAAATATGGACGGTTGATAAAGGCACCTTATAGAGTGCCTTTGAAGATAAAATGAACTTAAGATAGAGCTTAGCAATTATTAAATGCTCAATAAAAGCTTCCTGGGCATGAGGCTATAATGATACCCATCTTACAGGTGAGAAAACTGAGGATCTGGGAAGTTAATGGGACTTGTTTTGGATCCTACACCTACATAGCAATGGGCAGGGATGTAAAGTGACATCTTGATTAGCCCCTCTGAGACCCCTGTGGAGTCAGGAATAGGTGTCATTTATTCCTGTCTGGTAGAGGTTGAGTCATAACCTGGAAAGGCACTGTTACCTAAGTCACCAGCACTGAATCTTCTGACTCTAGCCTGGTGCTTTCTGCATCACTGTAAGGCCCCTTTTCCTTGGAGAGGTGTCCAAAGACAGCGTGAGACCCCTGAATCTGCAGATGGCACCAAACCCTGCCCAGCTCAAGCAGCCCCTGAGCTGCCAACTGCTGTTCAGTGAGTTTGTGTTCACTTCCAGGAAAGCACAGTGAATTATCCATGAGAACATCACTTCGAACTTTCACAGTAGAGGGAGCTCCACCAATGGAGTTTTTGCAAATATCCCTAAACCTGAAAAAAAAAAAAAAACCTAAATCCCAAACACCACTAGCTGCAAGCATTTCCTATAAGGCTTATTCGATGTTTACCAATATACTGGGATGAAAATTGCTTAAAACACAGACATTAGTTCTGGAATTTTCTATTCAATCTGTTTGGGATCTGGTTGATTTGGGGTCTAAAACCACAGAAAGCAAAACCCCAGGAAAAGGGGGACATTAGAGTCACTGGTCCCTAAGGCAAATGGTACCAGTCATGCTTCTCAAAAGTGACCATTTTCATTAATATTTTTGCTAAAATTATTTGAGCACAGAGTTGAATGTTGCTGTTCAGATTTTCTTTCGAATTTGATTAAAAGGAATTTATTTTCCTTTTTAAAAATTCACAATTTGGCTGCTGAAGAAACCTTAATGGAAGAAATTGAACTCCCACCTCTCACCCCTAGATGTCACCCAGCTGCCCCCACCGCTGAGCGAGAATCCCTGCACTTTTGTCAGCCATCTCGTGGCTGAGCCTGCAGAGCCATATTTCAGATGCTTTATTTCTCCCTGTCAGCACACAGCAGCCCATTACAGGTTCATTTCTGTAAAAGCAGAGTGAATTATTCATTAGGACATCATTACAAGCTTTGCAATGGAAAATTATTTTCCCTTCTGCATATAATGAACTTCACAGAGAGCCAACAAAGAAGGGGAATTACACGTGTATAGGAAAGGCAGGGGGAGATGATATCCGTTTATTTTCTTGTCTTAATCAAATAATTCCTCTAATACTTGGCATTGATGACTACCAAGGGAATGTAGAAGAGAAGGAGCTAGAGATAGAGGTCATCAACCTGAGGGTCTTGGGAACCCTTTGCCCAGTAATGACAAAGATGGTGACTAATTGGGGACATCACACTGAGGGTCCGGGGTAACTTAGGAGAGAAGATTCCATACCCCGGGTCTAGGTGACTGTCTCCTTAGTTTAACTTCTCAGTAGGTCCCTAAGCTGGAGACTTCTGGAAGAGACCCCACTTGCACCTGCTCCAGTCAGAGACCCACAGTCACTGATGCCTGTTGCTCTCTCTGCTTCCAGAATCCAGGGATTGACATAGGCGATGTCTCTGAAAGAAGAGCATTAAGGAAAAGTCTGAAGTGTAAGAATTTCCAGTGGTACCTGGATCACGTCTATCCGGAAATGAGAAGATACAATAATACCATTGCCTATGGGGAGGTAATTAAGACCATACCTGCTGTAGATCTGGATTGCTGTGCAAATTCTGTGGAGTGATTTGTGGTAGAATAGAGCCATTCATTTTTTTACATCCATCCACCCATCCACCCATCCTTCCATTCATCCATCCACCCATCCTTCCATCCACTCATCTGTTCATCCATTCACCCATCTACCCATCCATTGATCCACCCATCTATCCACTTACCCATCCATTCATCCATCCACCCATCCACCCATCCAGCCAGCAAACACCCATGCAACCATCCATTTGAGGTCTCTCTGGCTAGCAAGAATGTGGGGTACAAAAAGATGATGGCGACCTTGATGAGTTCTATTGGAGACATTTGGACATTGAGGTGCCCTGGGGCCTGTAAGTGGAGACACTGAACAGGAAGCGGGGTATAAAGAGAAGCAGGTACTGGCTTCTCAGCCCTATGCTGTGACCAGAACCACTGAACGTCAGAGAAAGCAGAGAAGAATCTTCTCAGATTTTCTAGAATGAGATCATCCCACCTTTCATTAAAAACAATTTAATTTTCCCCTTATTATAAATACCATAACTATGCATTTGAGAAAGTTTGCAAATATAATACTAGCAATGAACATTTATTGAATATTTTTGAGGTACCAGGTACCGATTCTAAGCATTTTTAATACATATTCATTTCACCTTCACCTTATGAGATAGTAGCATTATTTCCATTTTATTGATAAGAAAGCAGCAACTTAGAGAAATTGTATAACTTATCTAAGGTCACAGAGCTTATGATTCATGAAGCCAGGATTGGATGTAGGCATTTTGACACCAGATGTAATGTGTGCATTTTGATATATTGTCCTCTATTGTGTATATTTGTGTAAACTTCTACTAAAATCTTTGAAATTTTACTCAACAGTATATGGAGAATATTTTCCTGTGTCATTACAATTTTCCCACACACTGTTAATGACCGGGTAGGGTTCCGTGTTTCGCATGTGCCATGCTTGGTTTGAGAATCCAGACTTTTTGTGGCTTCCATTCTGACCAAATCCTAAGCACCGCTCCTGAGAGATCCTTACTGTAAACACGCGTGCCTCTGCCTCATTGCTTCCTTTGGGTGACTGGAAGTGACACCCAGTCAGGACAGGGAGCAGACAGCCCGGTGCTCTTGAGCTAGCCAGGACACAGGTAGCTCCACACTGTGGCCACCTCCAGGGCTGCCCGAGCCTCCCCAGTGAACACCAGGAAGACGTTAAACAGGCTTCCTGTATCCTAGTACACACATTTCCCCCTGCTATGAATTTTCTTGCCTGATGCCCTTGATAGAAAGTAAGTCATCTCAGGTTAATCAGGGTGAGGACTGGGGGCCACCTTCTTCAGCTGGATGCCCACTTCTGGCAGGGACAGTGTCTAGAGTAGTGGGAAACACAGGAGAACTGTGGAGCCAACCGAGGGTCGCTGGGAGGAAAACATGCTATTGCGTTCTGAGAACAGTGCCTGACAGCAGCACTGTTAACAAGTCTTAACTGAGTTGTCTTTTCTGCTGCAGACCAAAAGTACGTATTATTATTTTTTGACTCTCCAACTAAGATTAGATGTAAAAGAGGCATCAAACATGATAGGCTATGAATGGATTATTCCTAAGACAACTGGGTAAATCGCCCAGCTCTTTGAAAAAGAAATCAATTTAGATTCTTACAGCTCATCATATACCAAAGTACATCTCAGATGGACTGCAGCATCAAATAAAAGAAATCGTTAAAAACCATGTGGAAATAGGAATCTGATCTCCAGAGGGACAAGGACTTTCTAAGAATGAAAGTGGTGGAAGGAAGCAGATAATGGATCTGAGCTCATAAATAGTAAAATAATCTATACATCAGCTGGATAAGGAGAGAGCAGGTCAGACTGGAAATACACACGCCGGAAACCCGATGGGGGAAGCAAATAATACTCATCCATACATAATAAGCTCTGCAAAGAGACCAAAGTTAAAATTTCTAGTTTAAATAATAAAATAAAACACTCCCAAAGAAAAATAGACAAATAACAAGAAAGGCCAGTGACACAGAGAGAATAAAAATGATTGGAAAACACATGAAAGTTTTTGATTCATTTCATAATCAGAGAAACTAAAATAAGTTTTTAAATATATTGAGGTAGCTGTTTCCCAGCCTAGCAAATGAATAAGGATTTAGTGTTTAGAATGAATGTTCCTACTTTCCTGTCAAGGTCTTGGTGAAATGAAAAATCACACATCCTCCAGTGAGAACACAAATTGAAACAAGCTTTTTAAGAAGCAGTTTGAGCCACATGTATTAAAAAGCTTAATGATAGCTATACTTTCTTCTCCACTCTTATCCCACAAAAATAATCTGAAGTAGGGACTTGGATGTGAGAGAGAAATTGTTCATCTGAGTGATTTTATGTTTTGGAGCAAAAATTTGTTAATTTAACTTGAAGATTAGTTAAAGATAATATATTTGTAGCTTGAACGATTTCATGGCTGTTGCAAATGGTGTGTACAAAATGTTAATAACATGAGAAAAATATTGATTCCATAATACCGAGGTGGAAGAAGCCAGGATGATAAACTAGATTAGCCGCTCAGTTAGATTGGAAGCAAAAAAGTAACACAGGAAAATAGAGATGGTAGCTACAGCAGTTGCCTTTGGCAGGGCAGCCACAGGGATTTGGGGCATGGATAAAAATTTCACTGTTTTGTGATGACTTCATCATCAGAAGAAAAATTGTTATTAGAATGACATTAAAATGAGAAGATGCTAGAAGGTAGCCTAGGTCACTGTGCACAGTCCGTGCTCTGCACAACCCCAGAGGTGACGCACACACCAGCCACAGTACCAGTGATGCCCTTGGAGGTGTAGTGGGGTAGCCCCGGAGACAACAGAGATCATAGTCCGATATTTCATAAAGCCTTTCCTTTTGGCAAATTTCCCTATATTTCAACAATACATTCAAGCCACACATGTTGTGGGAGACACAAAGATGGAAACAAGCCTTCCAAATCCCAATTCCAGGAATAATCACCAGTGACATTTAGGACATTTGCTTCTATTTCTTCTTCTCTACTTGCCGAGCTGTGTACTTAAATTATGTTTTGGATGGACACTAAGTTTGAATGAAAGTAATGATATTCATAAAGTTCAGTTTGGTAACAGTGTACCTTTAGTTTTATTTTATTTTATTTCATTTTATTTTATTGCCATATCAAGGGCCCAGTGTGAGCGAGGTGAGGGAAGAGGACCTTAGGGCCAGCTGTCAGCTGCTTGATTCCCAGCCCCACGTACATAACAAATCAGGGATCTCAGCCTTTGTGTTTTGTACTTTCACTTTCACTCTATCTCTGTCCCTTTTCAGTCACTGTAGTAAAATACCAGAGACTGTGATTTACAAAGAACAAGTATTTGTTCTGGTCCCTGGTCCTGGAGGCTGGGAAACCCAGGAGCTTGGTCCCGACCCGTCTCCTCCCACCAGCCAGTGCCATCCTGCTGGATCAGAATTTGGCTAAGGGTGTCCTGCCTGCATCTCCAGGCTCTTTACCTCTTCTTACAAAATCCCCTGGGCCACTAGGGGCCCCACCCTTAGTGACGTCATCTAGCCTTTATGACTTCCCAAAGGTCTCACCTCCAAACACCATTTCTGTGTGAGTTGGGGGTCAGGTTTCCTGTCCCTGAAAGTTGAGGGGACACCCCCAAAACCTAGCAGCTGGAATGTGTTAGTTTTTAAAGAGATAAGTGCAGGCTGGGCACCATAGCACACCCCTGTAATCCCAGCTGTTAGGGAGGCTGAGGCAGGAGGATTCCAAGTTTGAGGCCAGCCTGGGTAACTCAAAATGTTTTCAAAGGATCAGAGATGTAGCTCAGGGTTAAGGCCCCGGATTCGATGCCCAGGACTGGAAGGAGTAACATGGAAAGGTAAAGGCTTTGACTCTTACCTGCACCCAGGGCCGCCTTTCCTCGCACAGAAGCCCTTCCTGTGTGGAGAGCTCAGTGCCACTGACTCCTTTTCATAGAGGTCTGGGTCATCTCCTGCGCTTGGGAGCTGAGCTGCCCGGGCTCCACTCCACCTGCTCACCTTTCATTTACCCTGATTTAGATGAATATCTGCACTGTGTGTAAAACAACACACATAGCCTCACAGTGTAACCCAGAACTCCTCGCAGCCACTGCTTAGGTGAAAACCAGCTAGGCCAGCATCACTTTCATGGTGTTTCTTGTTTTGTTTTTCTTGTGTTCCTGAGGACTGAATCCAGGGCCACTGTATGGGCAGACACTCCCAGATTGTATGTTTGTTTTGAGACAGGGTCTCGTTATGATGCTATATTGCCCAGGCTGGGCTTGGGTTTGAGATCCTCTTGCCTTAGCCTTCTGAATACTGAGTTTAACAGGCGTGCACCTGTATCCCCAGCTCTGTATGCTTAGCAGTCATCTCAACCCTCAGGCTCTTTGCTGGCCCCCGTTTCAGGAACTGCACGCCTCTCTCCCTGTGCACCTGCCCCCTTGACCACCACCTACTTCAGAGTATGGACTATCTTGTTCACTCTTGTGACTGTTAAACTCAGCACAGTGCCAGCCACACAGGAACGCACTCACTAAATGTTTGTTAAATCCCCAAATGGTATATGTAATTGCATTAAACATTAGACATTAAATTTAAAAGCCTGGTGGTCTGAAATCACTATGTGAAACAAAATATATCATAAAACCATTGAAGTCTCTAATATACAAAAAGTCCTTACAAATCTATAATGAAAACCAATCCTACTGGGGAAACAGACAATTCTCAAACAGGGAAATGATTGCTAAAAGAAAAATAGCCCAATATGCTATTAGCAGCAAATTTATGAAAAGCAGCCATCTTTCTTCACCTCCCAAAATTATTATTTTAAAGTGCAAAGACTCAGGACAGGTCAGTACTGGGCATGCTTGAGGACAGGACCGTGACGTTCTTTAAATCTCCCAGGTGAACGCCTCATCTTAAGAACATTAAGATGTTCCTATCTGTTGACCCTGCAACCCCAGCTCCAAGGTTCTGTTTCTCTCCTTAAGAAAATCTGAAATGTAACAAAATATTTGTGTATAAAGTCACTCATCACTAAATTGCTCAAACGTGAGAGGGGGGCAGGAAAAAACTCACAGTGAGAAAGGGCTGTGGATGGTCCTTATTTTCTTCACCCTTTTCCAGGGGCTTCTCACAGAAGTGGTGTTTCTTTGATAACCTTTTTTTAAAAAGATTTTAAAATCAAAAGTCTCCTCAGTGGTCTGAGCCTGGACCCAGGGCTCAAACAGCTGAGGGAAAGGAGCAGAGTGTCCCTTTGCCTGTCATCTTGATTTATTCCTGGTTAATTTGGTCACCACGGGAGATAAACTCTGGAGGTGCCTGATACATCCGGAGAAGACCCTGCCTGTACCTTTCCTCTGGCCACCAGGATGGCGGGGTTGTAAACTGACTCTGATACAGAATTGCTGTGGTCTGAAGATCCAAGCTGGGTTCTTACACAGCCTAAAAGCGACATGCCAGCCTTCAGGGCTGCTGTCAAAGGGATTTTAGTACCTACATAGATGCATGTTAAACATGTAGGGTCGTGCCTGGCACAGCATAGGCATTCGGTAATTTTTTTTAATGTTTTAATGGTGCTGGGGATTGAGCCAAGAGCCTTCACACTGAACTACAACTCTGGTCCTTTGAAAACATTTCAAGTTACCCAGGCTGGCCTCAAACTTGGAATCCTCTTGTCTCACCCTCCCTAATAGCTGGCATTATAGGGGTCTTACAAAGTTTTCCAGGTGGGCTCCAACTTGCAATCCTCCTGTCTCAGCTCCTAGATTCCAGGGATTACAAGTGTGTGCCGCCATGCCCAGCTCTGTAAGTATTTTTGAATGTGTCAGAAAGCGTTTCTAAGGCTTTTATGATGGCAGTGTTCTTGTTTGCTTTTGAAGGATCATTTTCATTGCCTTTCTGTAAGTAACAACCTCACATACCTCCAATTCCCAAGCAGGGTTATTAAACCAGTGTTGGGTTGAGGTCCACTTAAGTACATACATCTGTCCCCATCCTGATTCCTCTGAGATGCCTTTAAACCTGAGGTCTGGATGATCAGTGTCCCAGTGTTTCAGAGTTCCCTGAGATCTTTTATGCTGGGGATAGAGAGCAGATCGCAGTGATCAGATCACAGACTTCGCTCCAGTCCTTCCAGTCCTTCCAGGGGTCCATGTGACCTTCCCGTCAGGAAGCTAGAAGCAGGGTGTGTGGGGACAGTTGGCTGGGAAGCAGTGTGTCCATTGGATGGGCTCTGATGGGTGACACTTCCTCTGTTCCTGCAGCTTCGCAACAACAAGGCAAAAGATGTCTGCTTGGACCAGGGGCCGCTGGAGAACCACACAGCCATCCTGTACCCGTGCCATGGCTGGGGACCGCAGGTAGGAGCTCATCTCTAACCAGGAAGGAAGCAAAACCACCAGCCTGCAGGGGCCTTGGGGAGCTTCTGGAAACTGCCATTGCCCTCTACATTGGTCACTGTTACCTGTTCTGGATTCTAAGCAGGTGGGAGCTTCCTGGTAGTTTCTCTTAAAAAGCCAGGGAAATGGTTCCATGAGAAGCTACATCCACATGCATGTGAAGATCAAGGTGTGTGTTTGATACAGAAAGGAAAATGCAAATGGGCCCAGACTTGATTGCTAATATGCAAAGTAATACCATCTACCGTCCTTAGAATCAAAGGTACCTGCTTCCAACTCAGAAGAAATAATCAGCAGATTCTGTGCTGAGGAGCCAGTGGCCAGGTTACCTCTAGAAGAGCATCAGTTAGGTGGTGAGTGTGGCCTGGATCCTAAGTGAATGCCAGTGTAAGAGCAAAGAGCCTTGTGAGAGGAGGGAGTGTTCAGGAGTATTTTAGAGAACACACCAGGTTGCTTGCAGAGGGCAAAATAATCAACCAGTGGAGACACTCATAAAAATTTAAACTATGACGTCGTCAACTAGGAGACACAAAAAAAGTGGGGAAATGTGTGCACTGGACTCCACGGGAGCCCTGGGTGCTGGCTCTAATCCAGCCTCACACATTCACCCCCTCGGTCTCTGTCTGTGAAGGAAGGAGGAACCCCTCTGAGCTGGCTGTCTTCCTTGTGTTCTACAAATGCACATGTTGAAATGCAGTCACGTGCAACACACACACAGGTGCATGCGTACAGCCTCAGGGATTTCCTGTGCTCATAGTATCTTGCCTTCCCACTGGGACAAACCTAGGATGGAGCAGAGCCGAGTCCCTTAGCAGCACTGGGTTCTGACCTGCAGCCTCTTCCCAGGGTGGGTAAACAGCACCGGGCAGCTCACTGGCAAATCTGAGCTCCTTGGGTGACTCGGAGGTGCACAGACAGGGCAAGGAGACTGCAACAGGGAGCGACAAGGGCCTGTGAACAAAGCAACCTAGGCGCTCCAGCCCAGCCAGCACATTTAAATTTAAGCCAGATGATTAACGCTTATTTGTGGATCCCCCAACCCTTCTGCCCACAATCAGCACCAAGCACAGTCTAGGGAGCCTGGACCTGCTGTTGTCCCTGAAGCTCACCATTAGGAATTGGGGCTTAGTGTAAAAGGCAAAATAGATGGAAAAACTTGGTACCCATCTTCAATCAGTCATTAGGTCAGTCAACAAATGTGTCTTGATCACCTGCTGTAGGTGCTAGTCCCAGTTGTGACAGTGCTGCTGATAAGATATAGTCCTTGTACCCAGGTAGTTTCTACTTGAAGGCCAGGGCACTGGGAGGTGGAAGGTGACCGGCTTGGCTGGGGCTCAGGATGCCAGAGGGAAGTGACAACTGAAAAGTGGGAAAAAAGAGAACTGGAGAGGTGTTAGACCTGACAACATAGCGGGGTACAGCTGAGCTCCCACACCGCAGGGTACAGCAGAATGGCTGGAAAGCCCCAGAGCTGCTGTCCCCCGAGATTGTGCATTCTAACAAGCTCCTGAGTGAGGCTGGGATGAAGAGTGGGCATGGGGAGCTGCTGGCATGGGCATCCTGGAGGAGGCTGGGTGGAAGGTGGCAGTGCACCCCAAAGAGTCTCAGCCTGGATGGACGAGAGAGTTGGGGAGGCCGGTGTACTGGGGTGGGAGGCAAGGCCCAGAACCCTCCTCATTACCTTCCTGCAATGCCTGCGACCTCCATGCAGGCAGCAGAGCTGGGCACTGAGCCTGGGGGTTCACTCTGGGCCACCTGGGTGCTCCCTACCATCCCCTTGGGCAAGGCCAGGAGTGGCACTTACCAATCTCCTGATAGGAAATGTTGGAACCAAGCTCCTATGAATTGTGGCCTAATAAAGACAGTCCCATTAACGTACTAGTAGAACCCAATGTAGTCTGAGAAAGGGGTCAAGATAACCTCATAAATGTCCCCCAAGGACCTGAGGGCCTCCCCGTGTGGCTCTGAGCTGTTTCTTTCACTGTGGATGATGCCGGAAAGGTGTCCGGAGCCCCTTAGGAAGATCTCGCTGAACCTGAGGACCAGGACCTGGATTCAGCAGCAAGTCCACCCTGCCGCACCCCCACCTGTGTTCGCAGGTCAGCAGAACCTTGCTAGTACCTGTGATGCCTGCAACCCCAAACCCTCCAGGCAGCCTGGGAAGACCCTTATGAAGCTGGCCATACTTGCTTATCTTTCCAGATCAGATGAGATCCCAGGTAGACTTTTAAAGAGTGTGTGTGTGTGTGTGTGTGTGTGTGTGTGTGTGTGTATGTGTGTGTGTGTGTACACTCAAAGATTGAACCCAAGATCTTCTCACTGAGCTATATATATTCATCCATTTTTGTTTTCACATTTTAAAATTTTGACACTAGTGACTTCACTGAGTCACTGAGTTATCCAGGCTGGGCTCAAACTAACCATCCTCCTGCCTCAGCCTCTAGAGTGCTAGGGTTTACAGGCTTGCATCACCACTGTGCTGGGCTCTGAGACAGAAATTTAATGAGCGCCTTCATCCTTAAAGATGACCACCCGCTTTCTCCAGCCTCTGCTAGGTGGGAGTGGCTCCAAGGGTCCCTGCCTGCTATGTGTTCAGTGGCACTCACAGTGCAGTACCAGGGTCTTCGTTGGAAAATAATTAGAATTTGCCTTCCCCCAATTCCGTGTGTCTCCAAACCTGTCGATCCAGGGCTTCTGCCTACTCCCTATAATTGGGTCTGTGTTGCTTCCCACGAGCAGGCAGTTTTAAGCAACTCTGATTGTGTTTTCTGTCCTGTCACATGCTCTGTGTTACAGCAGATTCTAAGGGTAGCCCTCGAGCTGCCCACCAAGACCACCCCTCCTGCACAAGCCCAATCCCCTGTCAGAGTGAGTAGCACATCCCCCACCAAGCCCAAGCCTTGGCATTTTGTGCAGCAGTTTCGGAAGTGCTGTGGGCCAGCAGGGACCACATCCGGGCCCCTCTAACCAGACAGCTCCCAGCAGAAGGCATTGATGTTCCGTGGACACTGTTAGCTTAATTAATGGACTCTATGTTGTAATTTATTATCAAGCAGCAATTAAACAGAGATAAAATAGGCACTGAGGAGGGTAATTTCCTGTCTTGCAGCATGTGTTTGTCAACAAGATGGAAACAGTTCCCAGCCACTTGGAGAGCCAGCACACTCTGAAGTGTGTGCGGGCCGTGGGCTCATTATCAGCCTCAGTGTGGTCTGGTTAGTAATTTGATTAAACAGACAGTTACTTTCTGGAGCCTTTCTGAAGTCTACAGACTTCTTTCTGGAGCCTAAGTTTAGTTAAAAATAGAGCATCAGGGACACAGCAGCAGCTTTTGTGTCACTTGAACCCATTTAGGACAGGAGGTATTGTCTAGGGAGTGCTCCCCACCCCCGTGCCAGTCCCTTACCTCCCTGGGATCACGTCCAGGTGGGTCCCCAAGCTGGAGCAGCTATAGGAAAACCCAAGAGTAGCCACAAGTGGGACTTTTCAGCCAGGCCCCTTCTGCTGCCTCTGCCTGCCCCAGGGATTCCTCTGTCCAGGACTTGGCTGCTGATTTCCCTGAAAGGTAGAGGTGTGGTCAGCAGACCAGCAGCCTGGCCTAGCGGTGCAAGCCTGTGATCCCAGCACTCTGGAAGGCTGAGCCAGGAGGATCACAACTGCCAATTCAGGAAGAACTCCTCTCCATAAAAGCGGGCCAGGGCATGTGGCCCAGAGTGAGGAACCTAAATTCAGCCCCCAGCACCGGCTGAAAGAAAAGAGAGAAAGAGAAAGGAAGGAGAAAGAAAAGAGGAGGGAGGAAATGACAGAAAGGAAAGAGACTGGCTGTATCTAAACTGGTGTAGCCAGTCTGGGCTGCCGTGGCGCTGTCCGAGGTCCTGACGGCGCAGCCAGGGGGAAGGCCTGCGTTCTGACCCCTGCCAAGATAGAGCACTGCAGCTTGGAACAGACAGGGAACAGGGAGACAGGGGACAGAATCATTGGTAATAAGACCAGTGCCTGGTGTTAATTACATGTTTCATCCTCCTGACTGCTCTGACCTTCCCACCCTCTTTTTGTTAAAAAGAACATTGAAACTGGGAGCAAGGGCAGTGCTAGCTTCCAAATGTAAGTCCCCTCTGGGTCCTGGGTCCTGGAAGGTCCGCTGTGAGGTCTGGGGATAATCTGTAAATGTCCTCCACCCACAGCAAGGCACAGTGGAGACAGAAGCATGGAGGAAATACCTGCATGTGGAATATAAGAACCGGGGTTAGGGTTAGGGTTAGGGTGCTCGCTCCTCTGGGCGTCCTCTCCAGTGATGCCTCTCCTCTTCCTTTCCTGAGAGGCCCCCTTGGTTCCCTCAGTTAATGCATCACCAGGATGACAGATGGGAGTTCTTTTATCCCATAATTAAATTTAATCTGATCTTGGACTCGTTCTCTGATGGCTTCATCTTTTAAGTGATACATCATCCAAACACCTTGTCACGATGATGCATGGTACCAATAAGGCACTGGTGTCCCCGCTGCAGTGACAGGGCTCCAGTGAGCCATTGCATGAGAAAGCAGATGCAGACGGGTGACTCCAGCAGCCTGGGTGGCTCCCAGATACAACTGGGTAAGTGTTGAGGTTCAGGGAACCACAGGAGGCACCCCGGGAGAACACGGAATTTAACACTCGAGGGAAGATGTTTGCTCCAGAAAACAGGCGTGTCATTCTGGGAACATCCCTCTTGCCTGGCAAGAAGCCAGCCCAGTAATTCCTGGAAAGCACGATGAGCGTGAGGTCAGATCAGGGAACAGAGAGGCCTCTCTGTTTGGGGGCCTAGTCCTGTGAATGCTGAGAAAATCTTCCACAGACAGGAAAGTAAGGTGAGCCAGAAAGCAGAAGACAGAAACAGGTTCTGCCCTGCACATCCGAAATTCAGCACCGCAGAGGTTCTCTGTCACTCATTTCCACCTTCCATTTCCCACCTCTCATGCAAT